AGGAGCCATCAGACAAATCCAGGCTGGATAACATTCTATACGCTCTCTGGTCCAGTCTTCTTAAAAAGTCCACATCTTAGATGGGGAGATTGTTCTAGAATTTAAAAGATTAAAAAACGTAATAGTCAAATGCAATATGTGAAACTTAATTGGGTGCTGGTTCAAGAAAATAGCTATAAAGACATGTTGGGGAATAGTTGTGGGAATTTGAATATGGGCTTGATATTAGGAAATAATTGTTCATTTTTTTGGATGTGATAACGGTATTGTGAGTAGGTAGGAGAATGTCCTTGTTCTTAGGCGGTGCAGGTTGAAGCATTTAGGGGTGAAATGCCATGACCATTGCAACTTACTTTGAAATGGTTCAGCAAAAAATAGAGGGATGATAGATGATAGATAGATAAATAGATAGAGCAAATATGGCTTGTTTCATTAAGGTAGTGGCTATGCTGATGTTCATTGTACTGTTACCCAATGTTATCATAGTTTGAAATTTTTCAAAATAAAAAGTTTAAACATTAATTGTCAAAGAGAACCAGAAAATCACCATTTTGCAACCATTCTAGTAATAATGAATTCAGCAAGAGTCAATAGATTCTTTTAAAAATATATTTTTATTGATTTCAGGGAAGAGAGAGAGAAAGAGAGAAACATCAATGATGAAAGACAATCATTGATCGGCTGCCTCCTGCACGCTCCACACTTGAGATTGAACCCACAGCCCAGACATGTGCCCCGACCGGGAATCAAACCCTGACCTCCTGGGTCATAGGTCAATACTCAACCACTGAGCCATGCCAACTGGGAAGATTCTAAAACCATTTGAAAATTTGAAGACAAGCAGGATATGTGGGATAGTCTCAGTAATTTTACCCCCAGGTTACTAATTAGTTCCAAAAGGGGGAAACGGTAATTTTACAGTGGGGAATGGCAGCCGACCCCACTTACCCGGGAGATGCAGGCTGACATCATCAGTTATGGCACCAACAGACGCCCTGTGCCTCCTGACGTGCTCCCAAGGAGTATTCCTGCCCAACGTTCGAGCCTGTGATATTACTGTTAAAGTTCCTGAATTTGATAATAGTACAGTACTGTGATATATAGCCTATCTAATAAAAGCCTAATATGCTAAGTGTCCGACCATTCGTGCGACCAGTCACTATGACGTGCACTGACCACCATGGGGAGGACGCTCCGACTGGTAGGTTAGCTTGCTGCTGGGGTCCAGCCAATAGGGACTGAGCAAGACAGGCCGGACATACCCTGGAGCCCTCCCATGGTCCCTCCCCAGCCCCGATTGTGCACCGGTGTGAGGGACCCCACCAGTGCACGAATTTGTGCACCAGGCCTTTAGTATTTATTGTACCAACTGTGTAGAGAGAGGGAGTGATAAAGCAAGCGTGACAAAATGTTATCAGTGGGTGCATCTGGCCACATAGGACTCCTTCTACTACTGGTGCAATGATAAATTATTTGGAGTAAAAAAATAATTAGTAAAATCTAAATTAGACCTAGACCAGTTGGGGAGGCAGCTCCTAATTTTGATGGGAACTAAATACAGAAATTAAGAGAAAATTAAATCTTGGTAAAGTGACTTGCATTTAAATACCTTGAGTGCCATGGTATTCCCTCCAGTTCCAGGAATGCTTGTTTACTTTATGGAGCTGGGAGGCCATGGGGCACCCCAAGTGACCTGCTGCAAAGGGGGCCCCTCCCAGATGCTCTGGTTCTCTGTCCGGGACCTTTTCTTTCCAGCTGAGAATCCTTATCCTTATGCTGAAAGCCAGTCCATCCCCTCCCCACTCCCCCTGCAAAGAGAGCTGTGGGGGACCCCCTCGGTCCCTCAGCATGTGCCCCGTGCGGCACCCACATGCTTTATGCCTCCTGGGACTGTTTTCCAATTGTTCTCTCTGCCCGCTTCCTTCTGGACTAGACTACTCCGTCCCCGGCTGGCTTTCATTTTCCTTGTCCATCTTTACATGGGAGTTTTAGCCCAGCGCTGGATAAGGCGTACAGCCCCAGCAAATCTTCCTGAGCCATCATCTTCAGAAAGCATTTAATAAGTGCTCAGTAGAGAGGAGATGGGTGAGGGTAGATAGTTTTGGGCCCTCTAACAATCTTTGGGCTTAATGTGTAAGGGATGTGAACCAGCAAGCAAACAAACCAAGAGAACTTACAAAACACATTTCAAACAAGAACTTTTGACCATCAGCACTGGAAAGCTGGAACCCAGAAGCACTCAGCTGGGAGCCTCCCTCAGGCCTTACTGATTCTCTTCCTGAAGAATATTGCATCTTCAAGATTGTGCTTTCTGGTCTTCCCAACTCCCCAGAAAACTTCTGGGAGAAGGGACAGCCTCTGTGGTTTTGTCCCCGAGTGACCTTCTCCAGTTTCCGCATACCCAGCTCTGCCCACTTGCAGCAGGCATCCAGGTCCCCGCAGAGCTGCCTACACTAAATGCCTCAGCCTCACCCTAGCCGGTTTGGCTCAGTGGATAGAGCGCCTGCCTGCAGACTGAAAGGTCCCGGGTTCAATTCCGGTCAAGGGCATGTACCTTGGTTGCGGGCACATCCCCAGTAGGAGGTGTGCAGGAGGCAGCTGGTCGATGTTTCTCTCATCAATGTTTCTAACTCTCTATCCCTCTCCCTTCCTCTCTGCAAAAAATCAATTAAAAAAAATATATATATATATAACATTTAAAAAAAAATAAATGCCCCAGCCTCAGTCCTGTCACAGAGAATAGCCCAGGGAGGCGGATGGAGCAGAGCTTCAGGGTCTGATAAACCTGGGACAGTAATTTACAGGCTGGGCAAGTATGTGGCTTCAGGCAAGTCACATGGCCTCCAAGCCTCTGTTTCTTCTGAATAAATACAGATAATAAAACTGACTTCTTCCCCCAAATAACTGGGTGGATTGAGAAGACACAGGACCCCTGCTTTGGCCAATGTTTTGAAACATGAGTGACCACCAGGGGCCATCTGTCCAGCCATGTCCCCTGTATGCAGGGCTACCCTGGGGGCAGGTGAAGGTCATCCATTCTGAATGCCTCCACTCTCTCCTCCCAATCTCCCTAAACAGACTCGGGCACAATCTGGTTAACATGAACAGCAGGCATCGGAGATGGACTTGAAGGACTTAACACTGATTCCCTAGGAGGCTGTAAGAAGCAGGAGGCACCCACTAGAGAGCCAGGCTGCCTGGTTCAAATCCCAGCTCCACCGTTCACTAGCCCTGGGAGCTTGGGCAGGGTTACCTAATCTCTGCACCTCCATTTCCTCATCTATAAACCAGAGTTGATAACAATGGCACCTACATCAGGGCGCTGCTCTGAGAATTAGATGAGTTAACGCATATAGAGCACGTTGGTATTACTGCATCTCATTGAAGCCAATACATCCATACACTGCGAAATTAAAACTGCTGCCAGTTAAACCAGGACACCTCATCAATGGAACTGGAACTGAAAACACATACTGGTTTCAGAAATGTGAAACAAACAGGTGTGTGTTAACATGGGGGAAGTACAATGTCACTATTTGGAGGCCTGCAGCGAAAATACATTCGCGTTAGGGTTAGGTCTCAAATCCCAAGTCCACCACCTGGGCGACCTTATGCAAGAGGCTTCACCTCTCTGTGCCTCGGTTTTCCATTGGGCACATGCCGATCGCATCATTCGTACTCACCTCGCAAGACTGGAGGGGGAATATGTGCTCCAGTACTTACTAGTAGAAGGCACCTGGTACAGAGCAGGCGCGATCGTGGCTATTACGCAAAAGTTATTCTTTCCAGGTTGGAGCATGGCCATGGGAGGGCGAAGGGGACATGCCCAGCCCGTTCTGTAGAAAGAGGGTCCTGGCCTCTCTTGCCCTTCTGGCTTCGCGAAGGTCAGGAGGTACAGGGACCCCGGCGCCCCGCCCCGCCAGGACCCGCCCACCCC